TTATTTGTAGTCCTGAAAATTCTTACAATGCAGAAAAGTGGAGCTGTTGGTTAGTTGAAAAAGACTAAAGTGGTATTTTGCTAAATTTTGCTTACTAGATCATTAACACTTTGATCACAGGCTACAGCAGTGATTCATATGGTCACTATAACTAAGCCATTTCCAAGCCCACTACCCGAATAGCTACTGATTGCAGAATTCCCAGGTAGTCCTTATAAACTTGAGTTTAATTTAGGGGTGATTATCTCCAACTTGCTAAGTGAATATTACACTAATTTCGAGTTTTCAGCAAAAAAGTAGCACAGATCATTAGGAGACATCTATGTCAGATAGAAAACTAAAAAGTAACTCATGAATACACATAGACTGCAAGTGTATTCTGTATATTAGTAAATAAGTTCCTACTATATTTTATGGAAGGGGCATCTGAACCTCTTTTCAATTCTGGCTTCCTTCTGATTGACTCCTTCCTTTATTCCATTCTCCTCCTCAATCAGGAGGAGAAGTTAATCTGGTGATTGGAGTAGAATTGTGGTGGGGCCACGTTTTATAATGCACAGGTGCTACTGCAAGGGCAGGATCCCATCTGCATCTCTTCATTACACTCAGGCCTGTCTAGCGAGGCAGGAAAGGTTTTCTCTTTTTGTAAATCTACTCAGCTAAATGGGTATCTGGAGTAGTGATTTTTCAGCGTAGGATCTAATTCTTTCTTTGATCAGAACCGTGTACAGCACACTGAATAGGCACATTCCTATAAAGTTGATTCCAACTTTATAGGAAGGTGCTTGCTTCGGCAGCATATATACCGAATTCATAGGAAGTACCAAAGGTTAGATCGCATGGGAAGCCTAAACTGCAATGCATTGCAGACTTTTCTCAATACCTGCTTATTGTTATTGTGCTAGTGCAGATACTCATTAAAATTTAACTCCTTTCCAATGATATCTATATTGTGTACAGAGCCTTCAGAAACTCTGTTAGCAATAGGATCAAATGACACATAGAATTTGGTGATTTTCTGTACATTCTTGCAATACCACGATAATACCAAAACTTTTCTGCACTTCTTAAGTATATTTGTTTATGACCACAATGTTAATGTCAAAGTTATTAAAAATGAAAATCGACATTGTTACCATTTTAGCATCTTCCATATATATTTTAGTTTTTGAGCTGATATCTGAGATAAGTAGAGCTATCCTAACAGTTAACCTTTTGGACAGAAGCTTATGCAGGTGTACTCTTTACAAAGTTGAACAGAGGGATTCAGTAGCTGTCCACCATTAGGTGCTTTCTCCAACCTTTTGTGGGATCTGGGCAAGGGCTGAAGCGATCACACTGGCCCTTTCTTCTGTCATGTTACTGAGCATCGACCCCAGAGAAAACACCACAACACCATTTTCTCCAGAGCTCTGGACAAAGTCTTCCATCTCCTGTGAAGAAAGAATGTGTTCCGTCACAGACAGGTGTCAGTACAACAAACACAGTTGAAAGGATTTCTATAAACATCTAAGAGGAGAAAATCAAGAATCAATAATTGTTCTTCTTTTGAAGAATTATTAGAGTAAGGGTTATTTTTTAACTGACCTAATCACACACTTTTCTGGAAAGAAATTTGCATTATGAGATAGATGGCTTCTATTTTACGTATCTGTGCAAATATGTGTTTGCATGTATGTATGTGTGTGGGAGGAAGAAATGAAGTGGAGCTGTTACAATGTAGTTGGGAGAGATGATGCTAAAAACAGATTATAGCCAGACTTTTCATTTATATTATTATATTTACTAATATAGGTTCTTGAATGTGGCTTCCCTTGGGTTTAATTGTATATGGTTGACGCTCTCTAGTAAATCACTTGTGTTCATTTCAGGCATTTTTCTGTAGAATTTGTTTAGTTTGGAGCCATTGGAGCCATTCCTTGACTATGAGCAAGGAGGAAATCTTACTAAGGTTTAGGATGATATTTTATCTATATTTCTTTAGTTCCATAATCTTTTATACCTCACTTAATATCTGTCAGAGTTTCCCAATCTTTTCCCCTAAAAAACACACAAACACACACACACACACACTCACACACACACACACACACACACACACACACTCACACACTTAAAAGCAGGAGGTAAAGAGTCGCTGATATTTAGGATTATGATACTGTGTTTTGCACTTTTAGAGAAATAGTCCCAAAGGTCCCATTTATAATACATAATTATGAGGACAGGGTAGAAAGTATCTAGCCATAGTTAATAGAACAATAAAACATAACAGGGGG